ACACATACACACACACACACACGACAAAGTAAAAAACTGTATCAAGAGACAAACAAGGACATCAAACATACTGACAAAGAGTCAATTCATTAAAAACAAATAACAATTTGTTCTTGCTGTGTGCTTCTGTTGGAGGACCCTTCCTGTTTCATATTTACCAACATCATTAATCAAGAAAAGTTAGCCAACGTTCAGGCTCAGCTCCAGATAGGGGTCAAGGGTACAGCTCACAGAAAGAAAAGGTGATACAAAGAACAACTACAGCTGATGACAAAAAGCTTCACAGTTCTCTTTTAAAACTGGCTGTGAACAACATTGTTGGTACTGAAGAGGTGAACTTGATTAAAGAAGATGAGACAGTTTTTCATTTCCACATTCCCAAGGTCCAAGCTTCCCTCTCTGCTAATACATTTGCAATTACTGGTCATGCAGAAGCCAAACCAATCACAGAAATGCTTCCTGATTATTAAGTCAGGTTGGTGATAACAGCTTAACACGTTTTAGGAAGTTAGCTGAACAATTCCGAAAGAAAGTGTTGGGTAACAAAACACCAAAACCAGAAGACACTGGCAAGGAGGACAATGATGTTCCAGATCTCATAGAAAATTTTGATAAGGCATCAAAGAATGAAGCTAATTAAATTTTTTCTGGTTTTTGGAAGCTGGCATGGACTAGATTTAACACATCAGCTATGTGGGTCAGCAATGTGTTTCACAGTTTTACAGACACAGAGAACATCATTTGTTACTAGCTAAGTAATATAAATATTTTGTGGATTAATAATGCCGTTTGTTCAGAATTTTTCAGTCATTTGATTTTGCATTTTGCACTTCCTCCCAGGAGCTAATGAAGCTGTTTCTGATTCTACCTTTTTTGGGTTTTTTTCTTGGGAAGTTACTAATAGGAGTTTATATATGTATAGATGTGGGTATATTTATGTATACAGTAGAGAGGAAATTGGAAAACATATCTATTTATCTTCCCCCATGCAGCAGAAATAAAACAAATCTTTACATTAAAATAAAAAGTAACAATTACAAGCATTTACATTCAACAAAACCAAAATCAAATCCTCTGCCATCATGCAGATTCTACTTCATGGAGCTCCTCCATCAGTGAGGCTCTAAATCTTTTTTGTTTGTTTGTTTTGGGTTTTTTTGTTTTACTTTATTATTTTTCTGTGTGTACCATCAAATCGGATCTGACTGGTACTAGAGGAGTTTGTCCCTCCTTCTCCAGCAGAGCATCTGGTGGATTCAAACCGTGTACCTCTGGGATTGCAATGCAGAGACTCTAAATCTTAATGGGAGGAGTCTGCCTAACTTTCTCCCACAGAGCAGCTAGAAGAATCTAGCCATCAACCTTTTGGTTAGCAACACATATGCTATGCACAATATCACCACAGCTCCCTACACACTGAACAAAAGCCTCAAAATATGGGAAGGGAATACTGACAGAATGGATGAGGAGAGAAGCTGTTTTATAATAGTACTGGAGATTAAAATACCCTTCTTTGATGAATAAATATGAAATATAGTAATTGAATAAATAAATGTGAACTAACAGACAACTCCACACTCTGTTGGGTGACCCATCAGAGTGTGGAAACTACAGAACAATCTCATTGATTTCATATGCAAGCAAGATTCTACTGAAGATTATCGAAAAACGACCGGAACAGCACATCAGCAGAGAACTGCCAGAAGTCCAGGCTGGGTTTAGAAGGGGTCATGGTACTAGGGATATTGTAGCTGATGTTAGATGGATCTTAGCTGAAAGCAGGGAATACCAGAAGAATGTCTATCTGTGTTTCATTGATTATGCAAAGGCATTTGACTGTGTGGATCATAACAAACTGTGGCTGACTCTGAGAAGAATGGGAATCCCAGAACATTTAATCGTTCTAATGCAAAACCTATACTTGGCCCAAGAGGCAGTCATCAGAACAGAGCAGGGTAAGAACGCATGTTTCAAAATTGGGAAGGGTATATGCCAGGGATGTGTCCTATCTCCATATCTTTTCAACCTGTATGCAAAGAAGATTATCCAAGAGGCTGGGCTCTATGAGGAGAAGCGTGGCATCAGAATTGGTGGAAGATCTATTAACAACCTGCATTATGTAGATGACACAACCCTGCTTGCTGAAACTAAGGAGGACCTCATGCACTTGCTGAGGCTCAATGTCAAGAAGACAAAGATTCTCACCACTGGACCAATTGGTAGCATCAGGATGGATGGCGAAGAGATTGAGATTGTTCATAGCTTCAGTTTGCTCGGCTCCACAGTCAACACTCTTGGCACCAGCAGCCAGGAAATAAAAAAACGTATTGCGATGGGAAAGTCTGCTGTTAAGGACCTCTCTAAAGTACTCAAGAGAAACGGTGTCTCTCTGGAGACTAAGGTGTGCCTGATACAGGCCATGGTTTTTGCAATAGCACTTGTTATGCATCAGAGAGTTGGACAATGACTAGGGAGGATAGAAGGAGAATTGACGCCTTTGAGCTGTGGTGCTGGAGAAGAGTATTGAATGTACCATAGACTGCCAAGAAAACAAACAGATTCATTCTGGAGAGAGTTAAGCCAGGCTACTCCTTGGAGGCCAGGATTCTGGGGCTTCATCTGACATACTTTGGTCATGTTGTAAGGAGGAACAGGTCCTTGGAGACGGACATAATGCTAGGGAGGGTGGAGGGACAGCGCAGGAGGGGAAAACCCTCTATGAGGTGGATCGATTCAGTGACTGGGGTAATCGGGATGGGTTTATCAGAGGCAGTGCAATTGACACAGGATAGAGCAGGGTTTAGGGCGGTTGTACATAGGGTTGCTATGAGTCACAAACGACTTGACGACACATAACAACAACAATGACAGATAACTATACAAGACTCCACCCACTGACAGAATTTACATTCTTCTTAAGTAAATATGGAAGATTCTTCCAGAGAGACCATATGTTAGGCCCTAAAAGAAATTTAAAGTTTATTGAAACCATATAAAGTATCTTCTATGATTACCTCGAATGAAAACAAAATTAACAAAATTCAGTAACAGAAGGAAATGTGGAAAACTGACATGTACACAGAAATAAAGGGTTTGTGGAGGTCTGTCAGTGTGATGAGGGTGACAGTCTGGAGTACATGGGAAACACAGAATTGTCAACACACAGGATTCAGGTAAGGATCTCTAAGGACAAAAAGGGGGCGGGAGAGTATCTGGTATGTATTAGGACTACTGTTCTCAAACTTGCAAAGTATTTGGGGAACTTGTTAAAAATGTCAGGTCTTTTCTCCTAGAGATTCTTTGTCAGTGTGTCTAAGTAAGGGTCCAGGCATCTGCTTTTTTTTTTTTTTGGTGTGTGTACCGTCAAATCAGATCTGACTGGTACAGGAGGAGATTGCCTCTCCTTCTCCAGCAGAGCATCTGGCGGATTTGAACTGTGTACCTCTGGGATTGCAAGTCAGCTTCTTGCCCCTAGGCCACCAGAGCTCCCTAAGCATCTGCATATTTAACAACAAGACATGCTTCAGGTAGAAAACACTGGTTTAAAACCCAGCCTGAAAGAAAAGGACAAATAAACAGTATCATCTGTGAAGAATGTGTGCTCCCTAAACAATCAACTATGAGACTATAAGAGATGGTTAAAATTTATCCAGCAGTAAAGATGAAAAGACAAGAAGGGGCAGGGAGTCTAAATCAATAGAAACAGAATTAATAGAATTAAAAAGGTAAGAATGCTTATACATTGTAAAAAGTATAACCAATGTTAGCAAACATTTTATATAAAAACTGTAAAATCGGAACCCAATTTGCTGTGTAAACAAAAACATCTAAAACACAATAAGATATTCTGAAAAATTTTTAAAAATGAGCTATCAAAGAGTCTTTCCACTAGTCAAAAAGTATATTATCTGTATTCTGTTACAGAACACAAGGACAAATTACTCAGACTTTACCTTCAGCAAGAGAGCAAAATTACTCTGCAGAGAATTAGTGACACCATTTTCACATAATTTTTTTCTCATCTGGTTTTCACTTGCACTCTCACTACCAGATTGATACCTCAGTAATGACTTCAGCATAGTTTCAAAAGGGTCCGCTGAAACAGACAATTTAAAAATGAAATATTTCTAAATGAAAAATCAAGAAAACAAAAAGACTCCACCCCTGCAATAAACCCAAATATAAAACCTCTCCAGCAAGAAAATAATGATTATAAAGCATAACCTTTTTCTTTACAATTTCCTTAACTATCATTGTTAAAAACAAATAGCATATACAAATGCACTAGATATTGGCAAAAACACAACCACTTGGTTCAGAATTCTACTGTAAGTCATTTATCCTCAATTAATTTCCTATATATCTGACTATAATGATGTAACACAAGGTCAATCTCATAAATTTTAAAACAAAATGGGCAAATTTATGTGTGATCACTATTAAAGTTAAATTTATTTAGCTGAATTAAAAATTTTCTTTTAATCCCCTCTTTCATTATTTATTATCTGCTGCATTTAAGTCTATTCCAACTCAAAGCAACCCTCCACTGGCTTTCCCAAGGCTGTAAATCTTCACAGGAGGAGACTGCCCATCTTTCTCCTTGGAAGAACCCAGTGAATTCAAGCTTTTTTTACCTGCCTGACTCATAAAGCATTATGCCCCCTGGGATCCTTAGTAAGTATCGTCAATGAAGACAACAGTAAAATTCATCCTGTACTTCAACCCACAGAGATGCTGTTAACATCTGCAACTCAAAAACGGACATGTTTAGTGGCATGAAAAATCTCATTTTTATCTGTATCCACCAATTTTAAAACTTACTGCCATTGAGTTGGAACTATCTCACAGCTGACCCACCAGTGGGTTTGCAGGGCTGTAAATCACACAGGAGATGGTCTGTTTTCCTCCACGAAGGCACTGGTGAGTTTAAACAACTAACAAGACATCATCTTTTTTTTTTTAATTGTATTATTTTTACATGTACCGTCAAATCAGATCTGACTGGTACAGGAGGAGATTGCCCCCTCCTTCTCCAGCAGAGCATCTGATGGATTTGAACCACGTGCCTCTGGGAATGCAGTGCAGCGTCTTGCAAAACATCATCTTTAAGCTAATAGTAACTCCCTCCAGAGTATGTTGCCAGAGTTCCCTCATGGATTACAAATGAGGTTAAGAAAATTTTTCATATGTTTATCTTATTTCTTCTTTCTTGAATTGCCTTAGTTTTGTTTATTTTAGGGGCTTTCTGCCCATTCTTTCCCCAAAGCATTACATTTTTGTTCTCTCATTAGATTAGATGTGTATGTTTAATTATTTATTCCTATTTGTAGATGTGATAAACATTTTCCCATTTCTCTTTGAAACATTTTTATTTTTCCTTTTATCTTACTGAAATGTATTAATTATTTACTATATGTTAAGGACATACACTGTTTTTCAGGCATTGGGCAGTAATATTTTCCCATCTCTCATCCTTTTAAGGTGCCTATTATTGTACTAAACATTTTCATTAACATGTAGATCAACTTTCATCCATTTAGTATTTTAAGACTCCCAGATTCTGGTAAGAAAGGGTTTATCTATGCCAATATCTAATATATTTGATCACATGCTTATTATGTTTATGAATTTATACTCGAATAACTTAGAATTGATATTTTTATAAGGCAAGGACTGAGATTTATATTTTCAATATAGCTAGCAAATTTTCCTATAACTATTTTTAGCTAATTAGCTTTCTTTTCTCCCTTTATAATAAAATGCTATTTTTACCATATACACTTGTTTATTCTGGACTGCCTACTCTATTTCATAAACTGTCTAGTCCTTCATGCCTCAGAGGCTTTTCCTGGTCGCCCACATACATTTATTCTTCTAGATATACCCTGAAACTATTTTCTTTGGTTTCTTAAAAAAAGCCTATTGGAAATTATGTTGAGATTTCACTGAATACCCATATACTGAAAGGGGGGAGGAAATCACTTTAGAAAATTTTATCTTAAATGAGGCATTTGGCACAATGCCTGACACATAGTATAAAACAAAACATCCAATAAGCGAGCTATACCTGTTCACGACCAAGATCTGGCAACATGCTGTGCTGTGGTGGCTTGCACATTGTATTGTACTGGCCGCTATGCCACCACTGTCTCAATTACCATCAGCATTACCTGTGGTAGAAAGGTTTCAGCAGACCCACACTAACAGAGACTAGGAAAAAAGGCCTGGCAAACTACTGCCAAAAATTAGCAATGAAAACTTTATAGATCACAAAGCAACACTGCCTTACATGTGTGCTTTGGTCATGGCATCAGGAAGTACTAATCACTAAAGGAGGACCCCAAGTCTGGTGACGCAGAGGACCAATGTACGAGGTCTTCTCTGAAATGGATTTGCCTAATAGCATCAAACAATTAACTCATATATTGGCAATTGTGAGGACGATGTAGGACCCAGGTAAGATCTTGTCAGTTACAAACCACATACCTATCTAAGAACAACATTTAGTTCTTCATTTATTTGGTATGTATTCTTAAGAGGTAAGGATGCACTAATTCAAAAGAAGAAGAAACTTACAAGTCTTATTTGGGTTGATATGCTGTTTCAGTGCATCAACGGTGCCCAAGCTAACCACAAGATGCCTGCCAAACCAGAAAGACACCACAGATCCGAATCGTTCATGCAAATCGACCAGGAACTCGTGCAAACTTCCTCTGCTGACAATATCTGGAAGATTACCATCTCTGAGAAAAAAAAAATTGACAAAATGTTTAATTTTATTTAGATGAATTAGAAAATCATGAGGTGACACTAAATTAATGGTGTCACTAGAGGACAAAAAGAGTTCATGAAATGTAAATTACTGCAACATTCAAAACTTAATTATAGCTAACTTTTCACTACATTTCTGTAATTGCATAGCTGGATATGGATTTGCCTGGTATTATGAAAATTCATAATACTAGAAAATGAACAAAAGAGTTAGCTACGTAATATATTAGAATTAGATTTACCTGACATTGTGAAAATTTGTAATACATGAAACTGAACCAAAAAATCGACATAAGGAGTATCTGACTAAGAAACTAGAAAACTAAGTTTTCTGCAACAAGTCATTCTATGATAGTGATGGACATAATAAAAAAATACATTAACATCAAGGTGATTCTGACTCAGTGATCTTAAAGCTCAAGGTACTTCCCCTTTGAGTTTTCTAGATGCATTGGTAACCCAAAGGCCATTCATCTCTGGTGGTCTGAACTTACCAACTGCTGAAGAGAAAGACGGCAATCTCCTCTACGTGGTTTAAAGCCTCAGCAACCCAATGGAAAATCAACTACAAGTCAATGATTTTAAGGTTCATTTGCTTTGTTTTTTAAAAAAAACTTTATGGAAAGAGATCGTAACATTTTTCTGCACAGAGAAAACAGTGCATTTCTACCACTGACCTTAAGATTAGCAAGTGAAAGTTTAAAAATATTACATCATATAAAAAAGTTACATAAGGATATCTGACTCAGAAACTTTTTTATTTGGTGTTGCACTGTTTAAGCCATTCTTTATGTTCTTAATAAAGTTTAGTTTATATGTCTAGAAGTAAATTTAAAGTAATAGAGAAAGTAAATAAACTGAATAATCTATGGTTTAACATGGATACTAAAAAATTAAAGGTTTCCTCAATTTTATTCCAAAGAAACAATTACTTACTTTTCCTCAGTTGGGGCAATCCCTGGAATCCCTGCAGCTTGTCTGGAAGCCTAAGGAGAGGTGAGGATATTAGTATAATGAATTGTCAGATATCCAGTAAATCTATTTTCCTAAGATATCTGCAGGACTTTAAAAAATGGATTTCCCGGTTCTAATCCACCAGATGCTCTGCTGGAGAAGGAGGGACAGTATCCTCCTGTACTAGTCAGATTCGATTTGACTGTACACACAAGAAGAATAATAGTTTTTAAAAATGGATTTCCAATCACTTGAATCTAAGAAATTATTTCTAAGTTACATTTTTTTAAACCATTTTTTTTGGTAGGGAAAAGATTCCTTTTTTTTTTTTTTCTAGTCTCAGTGAGGGAAAAGATTCTCTTAATATTCTTCTTCTGAGTCAAATGACAGTGTTTGTAAAAATTTATACCCGGTTCCTGGATATGCCTGCTGCCCGGGAATTGCGGGGCTCGGCTCGGCGACTCCAAGGTGGTTCTCTCCCTGAGCTCCCCACTTTCTGGCTCGGCCCTATGAGCCGCATCTACCACGACAGCGCGCTTCGCAACAAGCGGGTGCAGAGCACGCGGCTGCCCGGGGCTTGGGACCCCGCCGCCCACCACGGGGGGAACGGCGTCCTGCTGGAAGGAGAACTGGTGGATGTGTCTCGGCACAGCATCTTGGATATCCATGGCAGAAAGGAGAGCTACTACGTGTTGTATGTCCAACCCAGTCGCATCCATTGCCGTAAATTCGACCCCAAAGGAAATGAAATGGAACCCAACTTCAGTAATACCAAGAAGGTGAACATGGGCTTCCTCATGTCATCTTACAAAGTGGAAGCCAAAGGGGACACCGACAGGCTCACTGTTGGGGAGCTGAAGGGGCTGGTCAGTAAGCCGGAGCTGCTTGCACTGACAGAGAACCTGACTCCAGACCAGGCCGTGGCATTCTGGATGCCAGAGGCAGAGATGGAGGCCATGGAGCTCGAGCTAGAGCGTGGGATCCGGCTGCAAACCTAGGGTGATGGCCCCTTTCTGGATTCATTAGCCAAACTTGAGGCTGGGACAGTAACCAAGTGTAATTTCGCTGGTGATGGAAAGACAGGCACGGCACCTCATGGACCGAGAACATCATGGCCCAAAAGTCATCTGGAGGAGCCACAACAGAAGTCCGGGAGCAGGGGGACAGAGCTGAGGACGAAGAGTGGGATGACTGAAGTTGGTGGGAGCTGGAGAACCTCGAAGACCCCCCCCAGCACCTCCTCGGCATTACTGAGGACTCTGGACCTTGAGACTTCCCCAACTCTCCCTGCCGCGATCTGGGAGCAGCTTTGGGACAAGCTCTGCCAAAATCAAATCCACAACCAAGACTTTGGTGGCGGGGCCCTCCCCGGATGTGAGTCTAGCGCCCTTTCCCTCAGCCACCTTGTTTTTAGATGCCGGGGGGGGTTGGGGGGATGTCAATCCTCCAGGGCAGTCTGAGATGATCTGCCTTGGTCTTGGTGCGGAGTTGGGGGACACCCCTCATCTGAATGCAGGGGCCAAGGGCACCTTCCTCTGTGTGTGTCCATTCATTAGTGTGTTCTGGGTTAGAAAATGTAGCCCATTTTCTACCCTCCCAAAGCTGTGCCTTGACCTCATGTTTTTACGAATACGATTAAGCTTACTCTGAAATGTCATAAGGGTTTTCTGAAGATGGAGGTATACAGACTGCTTTGGCAAGTGATGGTGAGGTTTATTTAGCTATGTTTCCTCCCACTTCCTCTCAGCTCTACATACTGTGTCACACAGCCTCTGCTCCCCTCTACTGTCCTCTGTTGCCAGCTCTTTCTTCCTCCACTGATGCCATGCCTCCATGGTTTCCCATCTTCTGCCCTTCTCTCCAGCTGTTGGTGGGTGGTGCTCTCAAAAAGGCCACTGTCTGCTGGTGCCTGATCCTCATATCTCATACTCACCTTGCCTGGCTGCATTTTTAATAATACCTTTTGTTTTGTTTTATACCTTGAAAACTTT